ATGAAGAACAAAATAATATATTTATGTTTTATTTTAACTATCTATTGCATTGGGACAAATTCGTTGCATTTCATCTTTCAAATTAATAACTTTAAGTAGTAAGAGACCAAATAAAAAAATTTAATAACTTTAAAAGTTATACCAAGTGTTCCGTTGGGTGCAATTTATTCAGAACGATGACGTTTTAAAAATATATCTGATCTATTTGAATAAAATATATTTTGACAATTTATATATTTTTGACATGCTGAAAATAATATTTTTACGCCGCAGCTATACAGTCATAGCTTCTAGTTTAACATTTAATATCATATTTAAATGTTACCCCTTAAAAATGTCTATTGATTTGTCTTTGTTTTCTACGTGGTAAAATTTATAAAACGACACTTTTGATTTAATTTGTTTTAAATTAATATTTAAAATATTTTTTTAATCGGTGAAGACATCACGTCAGTGATGCCTTTGTCATTTGGCTACTTGGTAGCATTTTTCTTATCGCAGAAACAAAAAAAATAAATGGGAGATGTTGACAACATAGTGCCAGCTGGAACAACACCCGCACAATTGCCATGTTCAATCATTACGGCCATCTGCTTTTTATTATTTTTATTAATTAAGTTATATTTGAAAAATAATTAGGCAGCTTTTATTATATTCTCATCGATTCAGACCTGTCAAAACTTTGTTATGCGTGAGTGCACGTACCTCTTTCTATTTAATTCAACTTATTCTAAAATAAATACTTGACGTTAGGTATGACTATGTATCATAAATGAGACACATATTGGAGTGGAGCAGAGCCCATGAGCAGAGTGGAGCGGAAGGATCTAACTAATCGGGGGAGTTTTATTATGTGGGTTGGGGGTGTGGGGGTAACACCCCGCGATTTGGTACTGGAGTAATTTAAGTAATCACATAATGTACTACATGGTTATATATATGTCATGTTTGTAACCCTAGGTGAGATTTTGAATTTTGTATTATGTACTCTTTTCTAAATATTGAAAAGAAAGCCGCCGCTCTATTCCCGAAGATGTAGACATCTTTGTCGAACCTCGTTAAATTTCTTTGTTCTTCTGGATTTGTGTCGATTCCTATTTTTCTTCGCCCTAATTTCTCAACAAGTGGTATCAGAAATAAAGAAGAGTTTGGCAAAGGAGTTCAGCGGCTAGGGAGGCCATTTCGGGCAAACGAAGCGAACAACGAATGTTCGACAGATTTGCGAGCAGGCAGCTTCGGTGGATTGGACGCTGACAGTTTGAATTGCGACAGAGGCGAATCACTATAAGTGTCGCGTGGTTCATGGAGCGGCAAGGAGAGAAAAGGTAGGAGTCGCGAGGGTTCGCGATCGCACAGTTCTCGCAGGAGGCGAGAGGAAGAGTTTGGGCAAAGGATTCTAGGCCGCGACAAGGCTTCTCGCTACAAGAATTCGAGATCGGCGACTTCAGGAAGTTCGCGACCAGACCAAGGACGGATTCACGACAGTGCAGACAGAGGCGAATAAGGAAATTCAAGCGGAAAAGGAAAGTCCGTTGAAAAAGAAATTTAGCATGAAGATATTCCGGAGATATTCCAGGATTCAGGAAAGACAATTAAAGGGAATCTGATGCTGCACTCGGGAAAGGAAAGATTTGTTTCGAAAAGCAAAGCGGAGAGCAAAGCTTTTCTGGAAGGAAAGCGGAAACAGAGCTATTCTGGAAGGACAAAGGATCACTTTTGGAAAGCGGAGACGAAGCTTTTCTTGAAAGTTTAAGGAGAAAGGATTTCAAGGAAAGTTTAATTAAAGAAAATTTAATTAAGGAAAAGTCATTTTTGTAGAAAACCTAATTAAGAGAATCTTAATTAGAGAATCTTAATTAAGGAATTATTTAAAAGACTCGTGGCATGATAAAGTGAGTGCAATTTTTTGCTCAAGCAATTTGGAAAATCAGCAGAGGAATTTACAGAAGAGTTCATTGCAGGATCAATTTCAGATGATAATTTCAGGTACAAAATCTGAGGTGGTAAAGTTCGATGGAACTAGTAACTTTTCATTATTGCAAACAAGGGTGAAAGATTTGTTAGCTCAACAGGGAATCTTGAAAGCTTTGCGAGCAGCAAAACCATATGCAATAGAGGAAGAAGATTGAGAAGAATTGCAACAACGAGCGGCAGAAACTATACGCATATGTCTGGCAAATGAGATTATGTATCACAAGATGAATCTGAAATCTTCAGGGGAGGTATGAAAGAAATTAGAAACTTAGATTATGTCCAAATCTCTGACAAACAAATTGTTCTGAAGCAAAAGATGTATGAGCTGAAGATGCAAGAAGGTTCTGATTGGCGCAACATGTGAATGAATTCAATCAAATAATCACGGATTTATCAAGGCTTGATGTAAGTATTGAGGATGAAGACCGAGCAATGATTCAGTTGTGTTCATTACCTTCTTCCTATGAACACCTGGTGACTAATGAACACCTGGTGACTAGAACACCTGGTGACTACTCTGACATATGAGAAATAAACTATCAAAGTTGATGAGATTACTGCAGCATTGTTGGCTCACAACCAGCGGAAGCAGAATGCAGGGCAAAGCTCCCTTAGAGACAGTTTATATGTTAAGGGTAATCAGGATCGAGGAAGGAATGAGGAGAAAGCTCTCATAGAGACAGTTTATATCTTAAGGGTAATCAGGATCGAGGAAGGAAGGAGGAGAAGGAGAGCTTAAGAAGGCGAAATTCCAGAGGCAAAAAGCTGATTTATTGCTACAAGTGCAAGGAGCCAGGTCATATGAAGAGAGATTATCCAAAGCTTAAGAAGCAGACTGAGGAGAAAGGTGATACATCATCCAAGTTTGTAAATGTAGGGCAGAGTGACAATTCAGATTGCAGTGATGGTAATATGCTTTCAGTTTCATCAACTCAGTAACTCAGTTTCTCAGTTTATGGATGCATGGATTCTTGATTCAGGATGCACTTATCACATAACACTTAACAGGGAGTGGTTTACTTCATACAAGTTAACTAATTCTAGTTCAGTCTATTTAGGTGATGATAGATGTTGCAATATTGTTGTATTGAGGAAGTCATAATTAAAATGTATGATGACACTGTTAGAACATTATGTGAGGTTAGACATATTCCTGATTTGAAGAAAAATTTAATTTCCTTAGGCACTTTACATAGAAATGGTTTTATTCCTAAGGTAGATGGGGATAGAGAAACCATCAGAATTGTTAAAGGTGCACTGACTGTGATGAAAGAAAAGTTAACTGTATGTAATATTATAAATTGTTGGGGAGTACAGTTGTAGGTGGAGTTCACTCTGTTGGATCATACGATTAAAATGCAGCAAATATGTTGACCAAGCCAGTATTATCAACAAGTTCTTGCATCGCTTGAACTTGTTGAATGTTTGTAATTATTAGACGGCATGGTGGCCCAACTCACATTAGTGCATAAGAAACTCCATGATATATTTCTTGTAAGGGGTTGGATATTCACCAATATGGAGATTTGTTAAGTATGGCTCATATACCATAAATGGGACAGATGCTGGAGTGGAGCGAAGCCCACGTGCGTAGTGGAGCGGAAGAATCTATCCAATCGGAGGCGTTTCATTATGTGCGGGGGAGTTCTATTATGTGGGTTGGGGGTGTGGGAGGCAAGTCCCCGCCATGGGTAATTTAAGTAATTACACTAATTACACATTGTACTATAGAGTTATATATATGTCATGTTTGTAACCTTAGGTGAGATTTTGAATTCTGTATTCTATACTCTTTTCTGAATATTGAAAAGAAAGTCGTCGTTCTGCTCCCGATGACGTAGGCATCTTTGTCGAACCTTGTTAAATCTCTGTGTGTTCTTCTGGATTTGTGTCGATTACTTTTTTTCTTCGCCCTAATTTTTCAACACTTAAAAATTTCGAAAACTAAAATATGGTCAAGTCAAATTCATAGATTTCTCTATCCACAAATATTTATGCATTATAATCAATCCATCTTTATATATCATGGATATGTAAATTTTTGAAAAATGTGAGATTATGCAAAATAGGAAAGTTGTACGGGAAAAAATGTTATTTGACACAAAAATGAAAATTTATATAGACTTTCAAGAAAAATATGGCAAAAATTTTAAAAAATTTATAATGACAGTCAGGAAAGAAAATTATCCAGTTATCACCATGACAAGTCAATGCTGACATGGCGACTTTATTGATTTAAAAATGTTTTGTTTTGAATGTTGATTTGAAAATAAAAAATTTTAGTGTCATTTTAAAAATTTAACCTTCTATCATTTATTATTATTATTATTTAAATTGGTATGCGAAAAAAGAAATTTTAAAATCCACTTTTGGTGATTTTGCCCCTTCAGCGGGACACTTGGCAACTTGATATTAATATATTATTATTATTATTATTATTATTATTATTATTTTACATTTTTGGACTGAAGCATAAAAAATTTGAGATGTAAATGTAAAAATACAAAGTTGTAATATTTGATATATAAATACAAATATACACTCTAACCAAGGAAAAAAAAAACAGGGATAGTTCTCCACTCTAGAGTTGGAGAGCTCTACTAAGTGGTTAATCTTATTATCAATTTAAAATGTTGAAATAAGTACCCCGCATCCCACGGACCAAAAAGTAGTTCCCATAGATTTAAGGTCTGAATGGTATCCAAGAAGACTACCCCACAACAATCGCACTTAGGAAGTTAATGTGAATGACTTTTTAAAACTATAGGGAAGGTTGCCCTCTCAATGTAGAATGCTTCAAAAAATAGCTTGTAGTTACTTTTTTGTACTTCAATGAATCCAAAAGGTTGAGAGAGTAAATGATAATCCTTTAATTTATAATGAATTGCTCCACAAATAATTATGCAAGTTCAACAATTGT